GCAAAGGTAAGACACTCTGTATGAATGACAACGTCGCTATGAAGGCCATAGAATTGAAGATAGGATAATGAAGATCATAGAATAGAAGATAGGATTGTTGTATTTGTGTTTACATCGTAGCTATTAGATCCATATCACGACATTTCATTACTTTGAATTCTTTCAACAAACATTTAAGCCATTGACATCATTGAGTAAAATGAGTGGGAGGAAACATTTCATAATGTTGTAAGAGATCCATTGGTACATGAGTTGGGTTATTATCCAAACTTAAAGGGTCTTCAAGAACAAAAGGATCGGTCCATAAGTTGCCGCCCAGTTCCATAGAGTGTTCAGCATTCAAACCAACAACCCATGTCTCAGTTTCCCCAAAGTTCATGCCTTCATGCTTGGCTGCCAATTCTGGGGTTGCCATATCTGAATTCAAAACAAAAAGGGTTTCATCCAATTCTTCTCCTTCTTCTTCTTCTCGGATTCTTAATTCCGAGCATGAACTAGCTGCTGCTTCTTCAACCTCCGTGTTTGACGGGTTTTGATCCAAAAGTTTCTTTAAGTTCGTGTGCCAATGATTCTTTATGTCGTTATCTGTTCTCCCCGGTAAATGAGCTGCAATGGCAGACCACCTGCCCAAATCCATTATGCATTGCGTAAGAGTTGAGTATACATATGAGAGGGTTTAGGAAGGATATTAAGAATAACCGCTCTCTACAATGGTATGATATTGTCACTTTGAGCATAAGCTCTGGTGGGACTCCCCCAAAAGACCTAATTACCAATGGAGAGGTATTTTAAGCCCATGATCATTTAGTCAAGGTGCAACTCCCTCCCAACAATCCTCAACAAAAATGACGTGAGAATCCCACATTGATTGGGAGGAGAACGAAACACTTTTTATAAGGAATAGATGCGTTTTAAAGCCTTGAGGAAAGCTCAAAAGGGAAAACTCAAAAAAGACAATATCTGCTAGTGGTGTATCTGGGCTGTTACAGATGACCTATTTCCGAGAGTTGCTTGCAATCGAAGGATGGTTTGATCCTCTTCCTTTTGGAAGTTCCCTCTTTTAATATCAGGCGCCAAGTAGTTCATCCAACGCAATCTACAGCTTTTTCCACATCGGGATAGACCTAAACGGTACCATCATGTTCATGTTTATTAGTAAAACTAAGTGACCAAACATGAATTAATTAGTTCATAATGAATGAATGAATTACCTGCAAACTTGGGAATTAAGCGCCAATTCCAAGAGCCATATTTGGTAACATAAGCTCTAAGTTTCTCATCTTCCTCCTTACTCCATCTACCCTTTCTTCTTCCATTTTCACCATCTTCTCTCTCTCTCTCATCACCCTCTTCTCTCTCTCTCTCATCACCCTCTTCTTCCATGCAGATTCAGATAGAATAATGAACATGAAATCGTGGAGAAGATGTGATGCAAATATAAAGGGGTTTTAATGTTTAGAGTGGTTAGAGATGTGTATTTAATGCTCGGGTTCTGTGGGACTTTGACCCGACATGAAGAAACTTTGTTTAAATTGAAAACCGAGATAAGAGGGGATATAAATTTCTCTTTATTAACTAAATAGGGTCGGGATGGAAATTATATTCTCTCTCCCTATCTCCTCGATTATATATATATATATATATTTTTAAGTGTTGATGAATCTGTTTAAATATTAAAATTTGAATATTTTTAATTTATATTCCTAGATCATTAAATTAAATTTTACTATATTTTTTTAATACAAATATATTAAAAAATGTAAATTATCAGTAAAAAAAAATTCTTTAAAATGAATAGTTTTTAAATATATTTAAAAAAAATATCTGTGAATTATTATTTTTTTAATTTTAGTAGTACGAAGATTGTATTTAAAATGATAAAATACTTTAAATAATTAAAAAATGATTTTTTTATCATAACAAAAGTATTTAAATGACCAATAAATATATCACACGTGACCTTTAATCAGTCAACTCGCCACATTTCCTAATCTTTAATGTCGAAAATTCTCAATCTCATATTAATAATTTTTGTTTTTTTTTTAAATCTTCGTGACATGTGAAAAGTAAAATCTTTTTATATGGCGAAGTCACACATTTTCAACGGAATAATTAATAAATGCTGGTGAATTTAATTTTTGTAGCATTTTAATAAAAGCCACGTGGAAAAAAAGTCTAATTATGGGACCCACGTGGCAGAAATTTCATGACACGTCACACCACACATTTGAGAATTTGTCTTATTTCAATAAATACTAAAATAAATTGTATACATTTACTAATAAAAATATCGAAGTTATTAACAAATGACAAGTATCTTAATGGACTAGAAATATCCCACAATTTGAATAATTGATTATAAATGAATTAATTTAAACCATTCATATGCATATGGTAATTTGAATAATTGATTATAAATGAATGCATTTATGGTGTTGTGTTCCCTTGATGTTGATGCAACATCGAACACATTTTTCCACGTACACACTTCGAGTCAAGTCTACCAATTCACATGGTGATTAAGTTTGTTCGATAAGATAACAAATCTCGATAATTATATGATATTATCCATATTTTTAATGTACGACTAAAGTCTTGTCTTAAACAGTCATCTATCTATTTAGTACTATTCTAATTCTTCTTTCTCTCGAGCACCTTGCTAGTCTAAGAGAATTTTACTATGGATCTTAATGCATTCGAGACTTAGCTAACTTAGGGAATGATCATTGGTTTATATTCAAGGAATACTATCTCCATTGGTTTGAGTATTTTTGGGAAGCCCGAAGCAAAGTCACGAGAGCTTATGCTTAAAGTGAACAATATCATATTATTGTAGAGAGTAGTGTTCATCTAACTTGATATTAGAGTCGTGCCCTAAATTTAGCCATGACAATAGAATTCTCAAAAGGTCGAATAAAGGACTCCAAAAGAAAAAGGAGTCGAGCCTCGATTAAAGGGAGACGTAATTTGTTCGAGGGGAGGTGTTGGATGAAAGTTTCACAACTAATTTAAGAAATGATCATGGGCTTATGATTAAGGAATACTATCTCCATTGGTTTGAGGTCTTTTGGGGTAGCCGGAAGCAAAGCCATGAGAGCTTATGCTCAGAGTGGACAATATCATACCATTGTGGAAAGTCGTGTTCATCTAACTTGGTATTAGAGTCATGCCCTAAATTTAGCCATGCCAATAGAATCCTCAAATGTTGAATAAAGGACTCCAAAAGAAAAAGAAAAAGGAGTCGAGACTCCTCGAAGACATGTAAAAAATGAAAGGAGTCAAGCCTCGATTAAGGGTAAAGGTAATTTGTTCGAGGGGAGGTGTTGGATGAAAATTTCACAACTAACTTAAGGAATGATCATGGGCTTATAATCAAGGAATACTATCTCCATTGGTTTGAGGTCTTTTGGAGTAGCCAGAAGCAAAGCCTAGAGAGTTTATGCTCATAGTGAACAATATCATACAATTGTGGAGAGTTGTGTTCATCTAACTGTCTTAACCAACTCCGGCGAGTTTTAGAGTGTTGGGTTCATCGGGCGAGGTATCAAGCCGGCAGCTTGATACAAATTCCGCCTAGTTTCTATCACGCTGCCGGCTTCTTCAGTAAAAACATTCAGACTTTTGTTGTGTTGCTTCTTCTGGTTTCATTGATTATGCCGATAACTACGATGGCCATACAAATCCACGCTTTCGTCTCTTTATACAGCCTTGGTTGCTCTGTTTCCGACCCGCCATTGACATGGGAACCGTCCTCGAGACAAAACCCACCACCACTTTGGCGGCCTATCTTGACCTTGAAGATGACGAAACAAGAATTTCTAAAATCGACCCATCCTGCCCCAGTTGTCGATGCTCCAGAAATTCCGGCCGAGACTGCTCCGCCATTTCTCGCCCACCAAAGCGAAATCTTTCTCGGACGGCCAGAGTCATCGTGTTTGGTACCATTCTGGTCAGTAGTGATTTGGTGTAGTTTAGTTGTTTTTTTAACTTTGTTCGTTTTTTTAGCACGTGGGTCTTTTTTGTTCCTCTGTTTTAGATCAAAAGAGTTCGTGAGAGAAGAAGCAACCACCAACAGAAATCTGACCGCCGGAAACGAAGTTCATCCCTGGATTCTGGAAGTTCTCCGGTAGGCGGAATTTACCAAAAAAACAGAGACAACCAACTAGTGGGAGTGGAGCCATCTGGGTCATCTCAGTCTTTTCCAATTTCAATATCTAAACCCAAAATTTCGGAAAAGAAAGCCAGTGGGAGTGGAACCATTGGTGCGAGGCAGGGGAGTTGCTATGCATTTAATTCCGGCATTGGTTTGCTATTAGTGAGTTTCGGAGTGACAGTGATGCAGGGGAGAGTGATTGCCATCTTAATCACATCAATTTGGGTATACTTTTTTGCTTGGATGCACATGGAGGATCGCTGGCTGAGGAAGAAACCGACAGAATTTGCAGAAACAGAGGTGAGGGACACTCTGAGGAGTGGCTGTCGGAACACAACCGGACCTCTGTTTCGTGTTTAATGGAAACTCTCCATTGTCTTCCAAACGGGCCGTCTTTTCTGTTCCTTTCCACTTAGAAAGTGTTTTAAAGTTTATGTTCAAACCCGACATTATCATTCAATTGTAGAGAGTCGTGTTCATTTAACATACCATCATAGTCATGTCTTAAATTTAGTATTGTGAGCCTCGAAGGTATAGTGGCTAAAACTCCAAACAAAAAATAGCTTCGATTAATGAAAGACGTACTTTGTTAGAGAAGAGGTACTGTATTAAAGTCCCACATCCATTAATTTAGAGAATGATCACGAGTTTATAATCAAGAAATACAATCTCCATTATACCTGGCTTTAGAGTTTAGGTTCAAAATAGACCATATCATACTATTAAATTCGAAAATTCGATTTTACAAGAATAAATAAATAAATAAATAAAACTCGTGGGCCAATAGAAAGCTTACGACCCAACAAAAAGCCCAATCCGGATGTGGTTATTCGAGGCCCATTTCCAAAGTTCTTCACAAACTGCGCGCGAGCGTGCTCTGCATTTGGAAGCCGGTAGGTGTAACGATGACTACCAAGCTGCTTCCCCGGCGTAAGCTTTCAAGGATACTAATGTTGCCGTGGTCGTCTTCGTCTTCGTCTTCGTCTTCTTCCTCTTTCAGTAAGTGTTCATATCTTCTAGAAGCTTGAACACCTCTCTTTAACGTCTCTGATAATGTTCATCAATTTCATCCTTCGTCTTTATCTCGAAGCTTCTGCTCTTGCCCTCTGGATTTTCATCGGCGATGATTCTCGAGGCCCTGCCACCATTGATTATAGGTAATTTTCTTTTAATCTTTACTCAATCACGAACATCCATGCGATATTCTCCCTTCCATAATAAATTCGGGTGACTTTACTTTTTTTTACTTCTAGAAAAGGCGTGATACCCGTAGAAATAGTGTTTTTACTTATAAACTTATAAACTTATAAATTTATGATCTTCCTCGTACCAATAGAAATAGTGTTTCTTACCTATAAACCCTATAAACCTTTGATCTTCCTCTTCCTCTAGGGTAGGTGGGACTATGTCTTGTTCGTTATTTATAAACCTATGATCTTCCTCTTATGGTAAGAAAAACTATGGGCGAGATTCGAAATCTTGAAAAGAAACGGAAGTTCGTAAGTTCCAGCCCCTCTCTCTCTGATTTTATTTTATTTTTGCAATTTTGAAGCATTTTCAAATTTCTGATTGTTGTTTGTCTACTTGATTTGCAAATTCTTTGTCCACTGTCTCCCATTGTTTTCTCTCATCTGACGACACCAAAAATGGCTTAGTGTTTTCATTCAACAAAGTGTTGTGGAAGTCTTGTCTGTTGGGAAAAACCTCCCACTTATATTGCAGAAATAAGCAACACAAGAATTTGCATTGAGAACTCCAAAGCATTTTAACTAGGACAATTCGAAACTAAAGCCACAGGCTCATTTTATAGTACTTGGAGCCCATTACAGCCTTGAACCTTTCTGATATGGTGTTGCTATTCTTCTAATATTTTACCAAAACCCTACATTACCACCACCACTCCACTACCGTCCACTGCCTTTTATCCTATTTAGGTCTCTTTCAGAGCTTCTCCTCAAAGTTTTAAAATGTGTCTGTTAGGGAGAGGTTTCCACGCCCTTGTATAAAGATGCTTCGTTCCCCTCTCCAACCGCCGTTAGCAGATATTGTCCTCTTTGGATTTTTCCTTCAAGGGCTTCCTCTCAAGGTTTTAAAACGCGTCTATCAGGGAGAGGTTTCTACATCCTTATATAAGGAATGCTTTGTTCCCCTTTTCAACCGCTGCTAACAGCCCCTCAAGGTTTTAAAACGGGTCTGTTAGGGAGAGGTTTCCACACCCGTATAAGGATGCTTCGTTCCCCTCTCCGACTGCCGTTAGCTGATATTGTCCTCTTTGGATTTTTCCTTCAAGGGCTTCCTCTTAAGGTTTTAAAACGCGTTTGTTAGGGAGAGCTTTCTACACCCTTATATAAGGAATGCTTTGTTTCCCTTTCCAACCGCTGCTAACAGAAATTATCCTCTTTAGGTTTTTTCTTCAAGGGCTTCTCCTCAAGGTTTTAAAATGCGTTTGTTAGGGAGAGATTTCCACACTCTTATAAGGAATGTTTCGTTTCCCTCTCCAACCCGAAGTAAGATCTCACCCTTAGTTCAGCTGATTTCACAATGTAGGGACTGCAAGAGCAATTAGAGGTAATTTTGTATCGTTGAAGTTAGATTGTATCTTATAAGCCAAAGGTAACCAATTGCTTAGTATACATATTTCTGAATTGCTGTTAAATTTTTGTGAACTTTATTTCAATGCTTGCCAGGAATATGGTGATAATCTCCGAATTAGTGGCTTTAACGTGGACTTTGGGGTAAGGATAACTAAACAGGTCTTAAATTGTTAAATTCATTTCACAAGGATAGATGTTCAAATTCATCCGATTTTCATTACGCAAGGTAATGACCTTAAGGCTTGGGGATCTTGGCACTTACGTCTTGAACAAACAAACGCCAAACAGACAAATTTGGCTATCTTCCCCTTTGAGGTATGAATTATGCTTCACATTAAATAGAATCTACAATGTTTATCCTTTCCATTTGTATCAAAGATAATTTTAGGCCTTGTCCCTGTTTCCATTTCATGACAAAGTTCCATTGATACATGCATATGTGGTGTCACAATCATACTTCTCTTGATAACAAATTTGGCGATTGTATGACACTCACTCTCAGCACAAAGTGAGTCAAGCCAACTTAGAATTGTGTCGCCTACGGCTGGGCAACGTATGCTCAAGCCTTTGCCCCGTTTTGAAAAACGAGGTAGAGAGATTTTGAAAGCAAGATTGAGAGAGATGAAAACAATGTTATATGACTACAAACAAAAGGCAACACAAAGGCTTAAATAACATATAACTTTCTGGGTAGAGAGAATTTGACAACTAGTCACATCTCCCTATTGTACATTTTGAGGCGATTCAAGTCTAGTAACCCAAGACGTGACTTTGCCGAATGGTCATACAAAATCTAGGTGGGAGGAGTTAACGACTTGTCGCATCCTTTTATAGTACATTCTGAAGTATTTCATGTCTACTAGGCATAGACATGATTTTACCAAACAATCATAAACTTAGAAAATACAATAAAGAAATTATACCTCATGAAAGTAGTAAAGAAAAGTAATAAAGTGATACAAGCTAAGGATTTTGGCATGTCACGGACATATGACCATGGGTAACACGCCTTAGAAAAGCATGACCGTGAAACGTATCCCCAAGATGTCTTTAACTTATATTAAAGCAGAAAAGAATGGATGAGACTACTTGATTTTGGTCCTGAGAGAAAGAAAACCTCAAACATAGTGGTTGGTTATTTATGTACTAAGACGATGTAGTACCCAGAGCGCCATCTTGGACGCAAAAATTTCAAGACAATGATTTCATCTATATGGGAAGCACAATCTGCTTAACTCTTTGGTCCAAAGTAGAAATCAAATTAAAAAAGCTTAATGAACTTGAGACATCAATTACAGCAGCAACGTCCAGGACACTTCCAAGCATTATCAGCTGGAATGCAGAGATTGACTTGGCTAGTCGTCCGTCAACGACAAGCTTGTCGATCAATTTAATGATGCATGAATGCGGTAAATGTGGGGTGGCCTACGTTGAGGTTGATGCTGCCATAGGAGAAATACTTGTTCATGTGGGGTGGCCTAGGTTGAGACAACCTAAACAAACTTGGTCAAACAAAACTACAAATACTTTTTTTTTACTACATTTTCCAAATTTAATTTACAAAAATAACATACTTGTCTCAAAATGAAAATCTTTAAACTTCTTTCAATTACTGTAACTTTCACATTTTATGACTATAATCGGTCGGTAGGTAAATGTAACCTAATAGTAAATAAAAAATCTTAAAATATATTAATAAAACACCGCAACACTAGATTATGATCCCACTAAATTGTGAAAGTCATCTTATATTGTATGATTGAGCAGGAAGCCTATTAAAGTAAATTAGGTCCATTGTAGGCTATCTTGGAGAATGTTTACAACCCCCAATAATAGCGATTTAAGAGGTAAGAACTTTAGTTGAAAATGAAATCTGTCTGAAAATAAATGTATGAGAGCAGCTTCAGATGGTCCATAACAATGGTATACAAGAATGATTCGAGTACCATAACCCAAGCTAACAATAAATTAGTCATTTGGGAAACATTTGGTGGAGGTTGGTACTCAAATCGTCTCTGATGGGAAACAAGAAGGCGGAGGTTACTCTTTTGAATGTACTCCTCTTGTTTTTACTAATATTTTCATCCGCCGGAGACACTGCCGTTGTATTAAAAGACAGAGATGGAGATTCCATTGTTTCCGAGGGAGGAAGATTTGAACTTGGTTTTTTCACTCCTCACGGAAGATCAGACGCTAGAAGATACGCGGAATATGGTACTACGGCTTAGAACCGGAGGTGGTTGTATGGGTTGCCAACAGAAACCAACCACTGTCCGACAGAAATGGAATTTTCGCCATGGTAGGTGGGAATCTCAAGATATGGGATTCCAGCAGAACTTCGTTATGGTCCGCCCTCCAGTTCCCTTCTAATTCTAGTTACACAACAATGGAGCTGATGGATTCTGGGAATTTAGTTCTCAAGGAATTAGGCGTCAATGGCACAACTCTGTGGCAAAGCTTCCAAAATCCAACCGATACATTTCTTCCGGGCATGAACATGACCGGCGACTTGAAGTTGACTTCTTGGAAAGCTTCAGACGACCCCTCGCCTGGGAGTTTCAGGTTTCTCAAGGATACGGGTGGCCGGTTCATTATCGAGAAACATGGTTCGCAGTATTGGGTCAGCAAGGAACTATGGCAAAATTTCTCAACCGAGACTGATGGAATGATTGTGGACGTAATAGAGTTTCTGTCACTAAATACTGTCGGTGGCTGGAAGGACACCGACTATACAAGAGCAGTTATGGATTTCAGTGGGAATGTACAGTACCTTGCTAGAAACAGAACGACTGGGGAATGGGACGTCATCTGGTCGGAGCCGAGAAACAAATGTAATGTCGTATCAGCTTGTGGGACCTTCGCTAGCTGTCGGAGTGACACTAAACATACTTGCAGGTGCTTGCCTGGGTTTGAGCCCGCGTCCAAGGATGAATGGGGGTCTGGTGATTACTCGCATGGGTGCAAGAGAAAGTCAGAAATTTGCATCAAGGAAGTGGTTGAAGCTCGAGAGTTTTTTAAATTAAATATGAAGATGAAAAGGACGTCGAATATTGTGAAAGTAAATGGTGATGGGGAATGCAAAAGTAAGTGCCTTGAATCTTGTACATGTAAGGCGTATGCTGAAATAGGAATCAGCAGAACCAATATTTTGTGCGCCATTTGGGAAGATGACCTCCAAAGCATTTGGGAATATGCAGATGATGGTGGTGACGTTTACGTCCGTATCAAACGTTCTGACATTGGTATTTTTCATTTTTCAATCCAATTCGTCTATATTTATCTTGGCCGACTATGAATTACCAAAATCTTCGCCATCTTTGCCTTCTAAGCTACTTTGCCCTGTTTGGCTGTTTTCTACAGAGTATATAACGGCACTCGACTGTGAAACATGTGGAAGCAGTATCGTCCCTTATCCTCTGAGCACAGGTCCCAACTGCGGTGATCCTATGTATGGTCGCTTCGATTGTTTACTTACTTACAGCATGTTCTACTTCCAGGCAGAAGATGATTCTTACGAGGTCACCAACATCGATCCACAATCAAATATTTTTACCATTGCAACAAACGGGTCTATCTGTAGAGGTAATGATAAACATGCAATTCAAAAGCTACTGAAATTAGAAAACTCGTCTACATTCAATGTAAAAAGTGGCTGTGACTCTGAATTCCATGAAATTGATATTCAATGGGAGAAACCATTAGAGCCAATCTGCAATGCACAAAAGGATTGCACCAATTGGCAGAATTCATTATGCAACTCATCAACAGACGCAAAAACAGGTGCTTGTGCAATTCTTCTTTTAACTGGACTGGTACCGGCTGCCGTGATCTTCCAGGTAAAAATCTAAACCTACAAAGTTTTTTTTTTTTTTTTTTTTTTTTTTTTT